CCTGTGACTGGTAATAATGGTATTTGGGACCTTTCATCCCTTGATCACTGGTTTGTATAGTGTCTGCTCTGCCTCTCACCAGATACTAAATCTGAAAATTATTTGGTGGCTATGTGAAACAAATTCCTAGCCTCATTTTAACTTGCTTTGGGTAGCACAGGGAGAAATGACCCCATTACATCTGCACCCACATTGACAGTCTCAATAGAAATGCCAAAGATTGAATGATCATCAACACTGAACCCTCTTTGAGGATGTTTTACGTCCTGGCTTTGTGTTTATACAATGTTGCCCTCTAGCAGCTGGCTCAAAGAGAGAATAAGGGGTGTGCTGCTACTACAGGCTAAACAAGCTCACCTTGAGATCAGTTCGGAGAGACCAGTGTTTTGGGAGTTGAAGGACTATGTTTCCAGTCGTGCCTCCCTAATGGAATGACTAATTTATATGATAATTGTGTCTGTGTGAAGCACTTGGATTCACTTCAGGTCAGTCACATGATCACATGGGGGCAGTCTGTATTGGTGCAGTCCTTGATGTAACTCTTCTGTGGATCTATACAGGACTTCATTCTCCAGGACTATCAATTTGGCACTGTTCATGAGTATTAAATCCCCTATAAAACTGTCTAAACAGGAGGACAACTTGGAGGAAGGTGCAGCAGTCAAGATCCAAAATCAGAACCTGTTGTAGATCACCCGTAAAGATAAAATTGATAGTTTCCTCTTTGTCACCACATTGGCACATGACAAAAACAACAATACAATTCTGGCTGCACTGAAGCAGTGGCAAGACTCCCCTTGACTTCAGTGGGGTTGGAATTTCCACCAAAATTGGCAACCTCGGGTCAAGGGTAGTCTAAGATTGTAACAACATAGATGTTGCATGATAGTATTGAGGTGCATCGAAGAGCTGTGTGGTATAGTGTCTATCTTCTTGGTGTTAGTGAATGCTATTACAGTAAAATATTCCTAAATGCTAAATTCATTCATGAACTGTTTTAAAAAGAAACTAAAGTGAAAAAAAGCTGCCATCTATATGGTTTATGAAGGATATCCCACCCTTCAAGACATTTTATGGGCTTAGGAAATCTATTTGGTCTCTCCCTGTACACATTTTGTCCATGTGTTGTTCAAATGTTGGCTGTAACTGCTAGGTCAGGTTGGGAACTGGGTAGATGTTCAGGGACCATATGCTTCAATATAATGGTTGGAGAAGGCTCCACAGCCTCTAACACTATAGATTCGCCAAATACTTCTTCTCCTGGCTGTGTGCTGCTTCGCAAGAGGCTTGAATGAAGCTCACTTCCCATAATATCCAAAATAAGGGCATGTTGCTCAGACTGAATGTTCGTGGTGCTAAACTGGCCATAGGGTATGTCTATACTACCTGCCAGATCGGCGGATAGAGTTTGATGTAATGGGGATCGATTTATCATGTCTTGTCTGGACACGATAAATCGATCCATGAATCAACGCCCGTACTCCACCTCAGCAGGAGGAGTAAGCGGCGTCGACAGGGGAGCCATGGCACTCGAATCGCCTCCGTGAGGACGGCCAGGTAAGTCAAACTAAGATACTTCGACTTCAGCTACGCGAATAGCGTAGTTGAAGTTGCGTATCTTAGTTCGAACCACCCCGCTAGTATAGCCCAGGCCTTAAGAGTATTCAGGATGCTGTAGAAGGATCAGTGGAGAGGAAATCCTTCCAACTGACTTTTTTCAGTTGCTTTTTCAAGTAAAGATTTAGAAGAGGAAAATGTTACTGAGAACATACTACAAAAAAGGGCTAAGAAAATAAAAAAATAATAAAATTGGAATGTGAGGCTTCTTTTAGTGTATGCTGTGTGTGTAATTGATGAAATGTCTAAACATCAAAAGTATGCCACGGCTAATTGGCTATATTTTATTTTATGTGAATGTCATTGTTCTTGTATGGATTTATTTATAGATTTTAATTTCTTTGAAAACACACAAATCAGGTACCACTAAGTGATTTGGGCACTAAGGCAAATACAAGGCTGCCCAGAAATTTGAACCATCTAGACAGAGGGTTTCACTGGGTATTATTTAACCAGTGTGCATGTGTATTGTTTAACCAGTGTGTGTGTGTGTGTGTGTGTGTGTGTGTGTGAGAGAGAGAGAGACGCATCCTAGACAAGCATGGTGTATAAATCAAGAAAGAAGCCAAGAAAGCGGGCTTCTGGGTCTGACTAAAGAGGCTTGGGGCTGTAAACAGAGAAACTCTCTCTCTGGCTGATTAGTTCCTCCTGTTTTCAAGGAAAGAGGACTTTGTATATTCTTTGTAAATAAACAAGACTGCATCAAAGAAATACCAGCCTCTATCATCAATTTCTCCTCTTAACTGGAACAACCCGCAATACCCCACATTTGGCTAACCATTCAGATCAAAAGGGGGTAACAATACATTCTGTCAGAGCATGACAGATGTTGGTCTGGCCTGCTTACTGCTCTCCGCAGCAGCAACATGTTTACTTCCAATGTTTACTAGTGCTTGCAGTCTCCAAGCAGATATGCACCGTGACTCCTGACAAATAGAAAAACAGATTAGTGATCCTAAAATATGGTCCTAAGATTCCACATTGACAGACACTATATATATATATATATATATATATATATATATAATAAAACCAGACAGACAAATATCAAAAATATAACAACAAAAATATTTTGTCAGAAACACTTACAAATGGCAGAACTTTCTATATTCTCTACTTAATTTGGACCCTAAAATAAATGGCAAAAGAAATGATCCTACCTGTCTTTGCTGATGCCTGTGAAACCATATAGCAAAATGGTAAAAATACCCTAAGTTCTTTATATCCGAAGGGCATTTTTTTTTTCGAAATAAGAAATTAAACAGAGTATCCTGGACACCAAAGTGCTTATTTAAAGCTGGTTTAGCTAATCACAGAAAATGCTGGAGATGGAGACAGCAGCAGACCAATTTGTCACATATTTTTCACTACCGCCATAAGCTGTGCAATGATTGAAACAGCCTATTTAGCGCTCTTACCTCAGTGCTAGGCATTTGCATGCAACCATCACTTAGCTTGTGTGTTAGGAATAGTGGATAAATTAATATTTCCAAACAATGTTAAGAAATGAATATCTCTATCTACATTGGTAGCTAAAAGAGGCATATTGATGAGATGGAAATCAGTGACTCCCCTACACAAACTGGTTAAATAACTAATGCTGCAGTGCTGAGTGACTCCTGAGTGTCCTCAGTTCCCATTGGGTGAGATTGTCAACAGCACCTAGGTGATTTAGAAATGCAACCTCCATTTTCTTTAGTGGTTATGGAGGGTGCTCAGCACCTCTCATTGAGATCTCACAGGAGATGCTTAGCAGGGTCAGGTTTAAATGAACTCTCCTCAATATTGACACAATGGAAACAATCAGAAAAAAATATATATAGTGATGTGGTCATACAAAAAAGATCCGCATCTCCTAAGTCCCTAATAATCACATGGGCTTTCTCTCTCTCTCTCTCTTTGGCCATGTTTTTCACTGGCATTCATCTCCTGACACTGTGTGCCACTCTAGAGATATTTAAGAGTTTTCCTGTGTATAGACTTTTTCAAAAAGTTTCTACGGCTATGTCTATACTATGAGCTAGGTGTGTGATGATTCCCCTGCTTGTGTACACATTCTTGCACTACTCTCATGGATAGAGTGACCATATTTCCCTACGCTGAATATGGGTCACCTGATAAAATTATTGGTATTCAAGCGAGTTAAACCGCAATCAATCAGAACTATGCAGTACAAATGTTCAAATTAACATCAAGTTGACCGAGCCTCTGTTAAAAAGAAATACTGTGTAGGTGGATTCTTTTTATTTACCTTATCTTTAAGGCTTTAGGGTTCACATGGGAAGGGGTGACACCACCCCCCACTCCCCACATACACAAACGGGGAGAGGTGACACATTCACACTCCTGTAGACCTCTCTCACAGCAGGGTGTGTGTGACTGCCTGACCCAATCCTCCCTGCCCTCCATGCCTGGCGGCACCCCCAGGACGGACCTGCCTCTCCTGGTACCTGGCGCCGTGTGTCCCTGAGGCAACACGTAGCGGGGCACGCAGTATCATATGCCCCCCCCCCCCGCCAGATTTCTACCAGGGTTCACACCAGAATGTGGCCAGTAGCAGCTTTTCGGCCCTGTATGGGAGGGAAGGGTCGGGAGCTGCTTCCAGCCACGGGGGGGCGGGGCAGGGGGAATAACCTGGCCCATGTCTTTGAAGAGCTCATCTCTTCCCCCCTAACCCCTGCTCCCCTGTGGCTGGAAGCAGCTTGTCCCTTCCTGTCTGCACAGTGTTGAAAGGCAGCTAACACCTCCAGGCTGCTGCTGGCCACCCACATAACCCAGCCGCTTCCTGTCCCCCAGCTACAGATTGGGCAGGAAGGGGTTAAGCCCAAAGTTTGCATTGTGCAGGAAGGAACCTGAATGCAGGGTCTTCAGCGAACCCAGCCAGAGAGATGGCTGAATAGGGAAGGGTGCCTAGGGGGTGAAGCAGGCCCACGCACCCTGCAGGCTTAAATACGGGACTGTCCCTTTAAAAACAGGATGTCTGGTCACCCTACTCATGGAGCTCAAGTGAGTATAAACAGCAGTGTAGCTGTGGTAGCATGGGTAGTGGCAGCAGAAGAGATATGTCAAGTATAAACCCAAAGGTTTTTTGGAGTCAGCCTTTTGTCCACATTATGCTACATAAATATGTCTGTGTTCAACTGGTTTAACTCCTACCTAATTCATTCTCCCTATGATTTATTATATAGAGCTAACTGAAAAGCAATTTAAAATGAAAAAGAGAAAAATCCATTTGCATTGAGGAGAGCCATTGATATCTCCTGAGCCACTGATATCACCTAGGTGTAACAGTAAACATTCAAAGCTAGATCATGGTATTTATGCTATTGCCCTGGGAACAGCACTGAGACAATTACCGTATGTCTCTGGCAAGCACAGTTTTTCCTAGGGCTTTTTAGTGTGCACAGAGGATGCACATTTTGCACATTTTGCACTAGGCATTAGGCTGGCACAGATTGTTTCCCCAGTTGCTACCCCAGCTCTACTAAAAAGGTTAGTGAATAATAATAATATTTGTTGACAGTATGCAACAGTTTGGACAATTACTGTTTTGTTGTGCTCTGTGATACAACTAATTTTTGTAAAAGGGAAAACAAAATCTTTAACAGCTCGTAACATTTTGGGAACACAGAACTCAAGGTCAGAACTCTAATGGAGCCTAGAACTTAAACAACTGCTTTTATCCCAGCTGGCAACCCAAATGTCATTTCAGTATATCACGAGGTTTAGATTGCTTGTCTATAAATAGGAGATATTTAGGTACATAGCCTCCTTACTTTTAGGTAGCTTATTTTATCTTGCAAAGGTTTAGCTCTAATGCAAAGTCCAAGTGGTTGGAGGGGAAAAAAAGTTTTACTTTTTATACCAATAGTGGGCTCTGACTTATACTTTAAGGAGCTGGGGAGGATAAAGGAAAATAAAAGAATGTGTTTCTGTAGCATGCATCAACCTTCAAGAAGGCTTTGATCTCTTTAAGGGTATTCAGGGTCTAAATAACTACCACACTTTTATAGAAATAACTGAAACCTGGATTTGAAATAATTGACACCAAAGGGAAAACATATTAAATGTAGTGATCTTTACTCACCACTTTTTTTTTCTAGTGCTGACATTAAAGGTAGATTAATCCGTATTTTTTTCTCCATCAAAACTAGTTGTTTAGCCAGAATAAAGATGTTATACTATGAAAGTGGGCACGTACACACAGTTCACAAGGAAGACACCTAATAAAGCTGTAAAAAAAAAAAAGGTTATTTTTTTTAAAAAAGAAAGGTAGCCTTAAGCAATTTTTCTTACCTTTTAGTTGGAAGAATTTTCTCCTGGTTCAAAGTCAAAAGCAGATAGGGGAGAGAAAATTAAAAAACAAAAACAAAAAAACAACCCTCGATGTGGAACATATTATATGCAAGGAGTACAGCTTCTGAAAGTCTGCAAAGAACATGTGCTTACATCTTGTAAGATTGTGCTTATGCAGTGTGCTGGTGCATTTCACCTCTCTGGACCTGAGTTGAATCTCCAATTTAGATTACAGGGTGAGTGGTCTCATTTGAGCTCCCATTAGTCTGTATTATATTTTGAAGCACAATTCATTGGGATTTACCCTTAAAAGTTCTTTGAGAGTTAATAGGTCAGACCATGTCCTCCTATGCAAATGCCACCCCAGATGGTCAAAGTTAACCAGAAAACTCTGCCACATTATCCTTTGCAGGGGTGCTATTTGGAAGGGGTGACCCTGTGGATGTTCCAAGGTCATTGAAGAATGCTCATGGATTTCTGGGGATGGCTGGGGCATCATGCACACACTGACTCAAACTTTCAACGATCATACCAAAGTTCCACAACAACCCAAATCCTTCAGGAGTGTGTCCGTCTACACACCAGGATCACAACCCTCTGGTCACAAGGTAGGTTGGAAGGTGAACATCAGGATTCCATGAGGATTAATGCTGGCAAGGTCAGAATTCAACTCTGAAAGATATTTTCCCATAGATATGCCAGAAGAAATACTGCATAGGCCAACTTATTTCTGGCTCTGCTCTCTCTCTGACCATGTATGTCCACTAAGCTCAGGTCCACAAAGGGAAGGAAACCAAGAATGTCATTTCAGAACTTTTCTCATTCAGAAATCATTCAGAAATAGGTCTAGGATCTAATGCAATTAAGTTTCATCTGGAGGAATGGAAGTAC